ATATAACCTTTTCCTTTTAAAACTTCTCTCTTTTTCTTAACCCTCTGTACTCCGCAATCACCGCTGCGGCGAAACTGAAAGATAATTTGATAACTCTGCTGTCTCTGGTGCAGTGATATTACAAAAGATGTTGACAACTCTGTTGCCGCTGCTGCGGTGACATAGTGAGATAAGTTGATAATTCTGTTGTCTCTGCAGATGTCACATTAGAAATTGATTAGATAAAGATCATATTAGAAATTTCTTATAAGGCAGAAGATTAATTTAAAATGTCAAAATAAATATAATAAACTATTTCTTCTGAGATCCGAGTATCTAAATGTACGCCTGAAATGTAATAATTTTGATAAAAATAAAGCAAAACAATATTCAGATATTAGGAATTTGCTAATCTAGGATATATGATAGCATGCCAAGCATATTTAACATTTTCTAGACTGTAATTGCTCCCTCAGTCTGCAAAAGAAAGAATGTCTTCCTAAATTTGCAAAACATAATTACTGCATGATAATTAATACATGGTGTATCTAGTTGAGTACTGAATAGGTAGAATATGGTAACATAATTTTGTTAAAAATGTAAAAACGTTTAAAAAATTATCTGCTACATTCATTTTCTGATTTCGATAATGTAATTTGTAACAGTAGTAGATCGCTTTCATTAATTTAAAAGTTTAACATAGTTTCAAAATTTGTCCTTTATACTTTCTTAATCAAAACGTTTTTTTCCATTGTACACAATACTAAACTATAAATGTACAAGTTAAAATAAGTTTTGAAAATATCTAGAAATGAATATAAAGTCTTGTAGAACCACCGAGCCTGTTAGAATTATGAAAAATCTTTTCTTACTGGCCAAATACACTTTCAAGTGTTAAGGAACGATCGACGAGGGCTTTAAAGTCACAACTGGATAAGCCGAACATCCGTTGCAGCCGTTGTTATGTCAGGAAAATGGTATAAGGACTTCACCGAAATGTTCTATGCTTACAGTTTTATGTCAAGGTGTATAAAAACCGACCAGTCAATGGGCAGCAAACACAAACTGATATCCGTTCTGGGATTTTTCTGAACCAGTTGTACATTTATGTATGCGCAGCTTTATCTTCTCTGAATGGTTACGGCGTAAACCGTGTTCCACGGGCGCAAACGAAGATATTGGCGCTTACGCCTTATGACTATGACAACTGGTATAGTCATTGTTGAACACTCCCTTAGATGAATGAAAACTACTTTATTCTTAGCCGTGTAACTATTGTAATGATCCCGGCAAACTCACGAAATATTATTATCAAAATACAAGTACTAAGATGTTCTTTAAGGTTTGGTGGAAAGATTATTTCACCGGTGTAGATCAGGATACTCAGAAAACAGACTCATTTTTTTCGAAAATAATTTTATTTCTGAAGTTCAAATGTTAAAAAGTACAGAATAAGTAATCTAGAGTTTCAAAGTTTTATTTTACAAGACATACTTTACAAAACGAGTTATAGTTGATTACTTAACAAAACGAGTTATAGTTGATTAACTATCTCTAAAGCATAGAAAACTATTGATCTGAAAACAGATATTATTTGATTTGAAGATCATGATGCAGCCTGTATACGATACTTTGCAAGTTTGAAAGCGCTGTATTATTCTCTTACATGCTTAAGGGAGTGATCTGACGAGGATAATCTGTATAACCAAATTTCAAAAAGATTTTGGAAAATTGAGCATTTTCTATAAAGCTGGATAAGAAAATATTAGGTAGTTATGACTTCCATTGCAATTTCATTGATTGTCTTATAATACCCCTTAATATCATTACGCGATTATCAAAAGAATCTGCTGTTTGATAGACTAAAAATGTATTATTTTCATGAGAAAGAGAACGTCATACAGAAGTCCTGCCGTTTAGATATGTACTCTCAATGTGTAGTTTATAAATTTCATTCATGTAACGTTTATCAAAGCCATATAAAATAAAATTCTACGGGAGAATTACATACTTCTACATATCACTTGCGTCATGACGGACAATTGCCAAATTCGTTTTGTTTTCAAGAGATATTTCATTATTGAATCTATTCGCAGTCGGCAATACTTAAAACTTCATTCACTGCCTGGCATGGATGGGTACTACGTAAAACGTCGGCTATATCTAAAACTTCAATCGCTGCCTGGCATCGATATTAAACCAACATCGCATGACTATTTGAAAATATCTAGTGTAGTTAATTATTGACCACATATTATTTGTTTCTAGTTGAGAACATTCCTGACATAAATATTATAAGAAAACTGAAATGAAACTACGGGCTGGAAACTTCTTTTTCTTTTGCACTTGTTCTCTAGTCCATGCATTTCATGGAAGAATGATTGCCAGTTTCCCATCCCTCTCCGCTAACACGAAACCACACGAGAGGACTTTCGGCTCGCCATATATTTAGAGTGCCTCCCATGCCGCAAAGACACTATACGTTTACAAATATCCGTGCCTTCTCTGGGATTCGAACCGAACCTTCGGTACCGCAGTACGCTCCCCTAACCATTATACCGTCTGGGCGGCTGCTTTTCTTTTAGCTTAACTAAATTGATTAATTTAAATTTAAATAAAGTTTGCCCACCGCTTTTCCAAGGCATAATTATGTGAATAAAACTTTTATAATAATTTTTTAATATCCTATAAATTTCTTGGCTTGGTAGGATATCATTAATGAGTTTTAATACTTTCTGTATTGAACAATACAAATTATTAACGAAAACATTAATGAAATGTGGAGGAAAAAAAGCAGAGTGATTACATAGTACATAAATTAAGCTTCCTTGCGTTACAAATAGTCCGACAACGAATTTCTTGAACAATAACTATTTTCTACTTTCTTAAGATAGCGTAAATCTTTAATAAATGGTTAACCATAGTTGAGAGAGGTAAAAAGCATTTATTCTTACTGTACTTACGCGTCTTATCGTTGAAAGTTAAGCTAAAATTATCTACAAAAGCAGGAAAGACTCTTACATATTTACTTCACTTTTATTTTTAGAATTCCATGAAATGCCCATTAAAAAAAAAAAGATGTTTAAACTAATAGTTCGTCTCTAAAAGAAAATTAAGGTAGGAAAGGCAGGGATAACTTCTTTCTTTTTTTAGAACAGGAATTTTAAGGTATAGATCTGTTTGGGTATTCAAATATAAATTCATATAAATTTTGAGAATAATATACTCTTTTAGTAGAAATATTACCACAAGATTTATTTGGCTGTTATATACATATGTACGATTTCAGCAAAAGACGTTTTTTAGTAAATTGTACATGAAACTAGTTTGCATGTGTAGATAATACAAAAAAGAAATGAAAGGAAATTTCATATAGTAAGTATACACAGGAGAAATCACCCTTGAACAGTGATTTCACCTGAGTTAAAAGAATTTCTTTTACTTAATCCAGGTGAAACCATCACCGTTAGAAATTTTTATTTTCTGCACAGCATAGAAGTAGATATTGTGAATGTTCTGCCTCTTTATTTTTTTAAATAGGAAAATTTTAATAAAATGCTGCATTTACAACGCTTACTAAACAACGTTACTGGAGATAAAGCTAAAGACGAAGTACATAGTTCCAAAAGCATAGGTCGAATTCCAGCTTGTAGATAGTAAAAATTTTGCAGTAGTTGGCAAAAAAGAATTTTTACTCTAATAACTGTTTTCCATTTCGCCTCTAATATGTCTGGTAAAAGTCTAAAAACTCTACAAAGTCTTAGATAAATATCATCATGGATGCAGCAAGGTTTTCTGAAAATACGTTTTTGCTGAAGTTTGAATTTTGGTTTAGATAGATTGAAGGAGATCATAAAGAGCGATAATTCTTATATTTGAATAAAAATTTTCCTCCAATTTCTACCTTATCACAGGATAAGAATAAAAATTATAATTTTATGATCGTTAAGGGGAAAATTCGGTCTTATAATTAACTTAGAAAAATAAAATTTTATTCCTCACTTTACATATCATTTCATTTGGTAGATTATACTAACAGCTAATTCAGTACTTTTAAAAAATATAAAATACTTTTTCGTTCTTTATCCCAACAGCTAAGCACTTGCTAGATAAAACATTTGTTCGAGCTATGATCGAATTATCGGTCACTTAGCCCTCTCGTCTAATAGCATGTTTGCAAAGTACATTGTAGGAATGACCAATTTAGACCCGCTGGTAAGGAAGGATAACTATACGCTTACAGTCGAGTCTCACACAAGAGGCAATCCCACATCTTTCTACGAGTATTTTATTTCTAAAGGTTTTCGGCTAGTACATAGTAGTTATCCTTCGCTAACTCCCATACCGTCCGCGGATGTGAAAATTAAATAATTAAAAAATCTTATTTCCCTCCGTATCTCCTGTGTGAATCATGAAAATGTACACTTACCATTGCAATATTTCTGGAATTTAAGCGATATTATCAGCTGCAGAAAGCAAAAGAGCAAAAATTAAATATTTCATTTTATGTAGAGACAGATGGACTGAACAATCAGTTTTTCCCCTTAAGTTTTCTGTTTTAATGGGTTTTTTCTTATGAAAATTCTATTGAAATTTGATATTCTAAAACGTATGTGTAAATAACACAAAGCATGTAGAACAAATAGCTGAAATAAAAAGAACAACAAAGTATGACAGAAATACATTTCAGAAAATTTAAATTTGAAAATCACTATAATAATGTGTGCGTGCGTTAAAATATCTATACGATTTAGATTTTAAATTATTGGAATTATTTTTATATCTATACCTACTTATTATGTTAACACATACAGAGGTGTATACTTAATCAATGTATATCTACAGAGCCAATATCGAGTTTCCATTATTAATAGCCTTCTAAATTTTTAACGTTGAAAGAAAGGCGGAGTTAATCTATTGGAGGGGGAAAGTAACCTGGAACTGCTATAGCGATAAAAAGATACTACTTCCTTATTTCCCAAGATGGTCGGTAGTGGATCAATATGTCTAGATGAACTCAGCTCACACATTAACACTACGGCGGAAAGAAATATAGAGCGAAAAGTTGCCGCTGAAAATTTAATTCACGGCTCAACTGTAAGTATGTCTGTAACTGTAATTAGTCAAACTACTAAGTGCATTAACGAATCTTGTAATCTAATTATATGCAATAGCATGCAGCAGCAGAAGATAATCTAAATTAAACGTTAAGATGAAATAAATGTACAGGGCAGTTCAACTATTTAAGCAATTTCCAGTCTTTTTAAATTTTTACGCCATATGTTAATAGGATGTATTTTATACATTTTTTACCTGTAGCATACATTCTATAGCATCTATATATATGGAGAATGAAGATGAATACTTTGAACATATAAGTAATAATTTTACCTAGAAGGCAAGAGATTTTATGCATCCATCGTTTCTTTGATGTTTTCAGATTTCTATTGGATGTTTTACAATTTTTTAGAATTTAAAGATTTATTAGAAGATCTCTATTAATATGAGGAACATATATAGCTTATACATGTTGAATTTTAAATTATCATTAGCATATACTAGAGATGAACATAGGTGAAACTAATAGAAATTTGAAACATGCATTTAGATATATAAGCACATAAATATTTCATATATATATATATGTATATATATAAGTAAATAAGGTAATTATTCATATTAAATTGCCTAATACATTCTCTAAAGCTGCAAAGTAATAAAATAAGATTTTATTTTCTAGTAGATTTCTAGTAGACTCTTTTGAAAATAAAGCAGTTAAGTTAGAATTCTATTGAAATGACTTTACGCATTAGCCTAGTTAAAATTGAATTATTCAAATAGAATAATTAAAAGCGAAAGTGCAACCAGCAAATTAAGTAATTATCGCCATTGACAGGAAATTAGTTAACTTTTCAAAGGGAACAAACTAATTTCCGATCAATTACCAGCAATTAATAAATGGGAAAGTGTTCCGTCTTTTCCTCAAGTAAGAATCAAGACTAAAAAAACTGCTTAGTAGGACTGAGTTAAAATTATTCAAATTGCTAAATTAGAAGCAGTAAGAAATTGGCTGTTTGAAATGCAATCTTCTCATAGGGATATATAATAATTATAAGAGTGAGTTTTATTTCCTTACTTGAGAAAATTGCGCCCCGACACTTTCGCCTTTGATCATATTAAAACAATGCAATCTTTAAAACAATTAAACAATGAAGACCTAGTATACAAAAATATATTCTCATAAGACTAAAATGAAATATTAAGAATACATGAAATAATGAAAATTTACATAATGTACATTAAAAGCCAGAAATTAATTTAATTAACTTACGTGTTTGCTAACAGTGAAACTTAGACAATATGTCCCATACCTTTTTTGCACTCAGAATGGAATTTGGAATTCCAACCGAGATGTAGAATGGAGAGGAAAGGAGAGAGAGAGAGAGTAGGCAAGGATGGATTGGATATTATTTTTTTAGGCAGGAAAAAGAAGTGGCATGTTAATCTGAAAGTTGTCGAGTGGAAAAGTCTTAAAGTAAATTTTCTTTTTAAACTGAAGAAACAAAACAAAAGAAATTTAATTTCTGGCTAATTGTCTGCATTGAAAAGGAATAAAAGAAAAGTAAAAGAAATCTCACTTCTCAAGAGCTGCTAAGTAGACTTCGAAATTTGAGAAAGGCTCATTTTGTTATATATATAAAACACAAGTTCAGATACATTGAAAATATATATTTCAGGTCCTACAGAATTAGATCGAAATACAACCCATTTTACTTGCTTATTTGCGTATATGTTTCAGTTTCTTTAAAACGAAAAAAGAAAAAACTTTGGGAGTTGGATAAAAAATTATCATAAAATACGGGTTCTTTCTTCACAGTGGCCTAATTGTTTCTTCAATAGAAATTCAGCTTAATCCACATAGCTTTTCCTATGTTCCTTTATAACAATTAAATATTTTTAGTTAGAAACCGTATGTTTGACTGTAGCAATGATGTACATCATCACCTCTATTTGTCCCATTCTACATAACAATATTATAAGTTACTTACTGAAATTTAAGGCCACTATTAATTTTATTATTATTACTACACCAGACAAGGACACTATTAATTTTATTATTATATGCCGTTCAAAAGTTTTACCTTGTATTGTACAGTTTCAGAAAAAGAGCTTTTGATTTAATTAGATTAATTAAGATTGAGAGCGTGTTTAAAACAATCTTTATTATTCTATTATTTTTAACCTTTCATTTTTATACTTGTTATTTGTAAAATGTTTCATGTTTCATAAATTAATGGACTACAGATTTATGATTTTGTCACTTAAAGTTCTACATATGTAAGATAAAAAACATGTAACTATTAATTATATATTAAATTAACAATAGTCCCTTAACCCCTCTTTTTAATTTGGACACTTTATCCTCTCTATTCTAAAAATTGTTATAGCTTTTACGAAACTGCATCATATCTGAAAATTAATTCCGCATTATACCATCTTAACCTACTAAACTCCATACACTTCTTAGTCAATCAGATTAAAGAAAACGTTTATTATGAATACCACTACGATCCAACTATGCTCTCTCTTTTTTTCGCCCTTATTTCCTGCTCTACGTGTACCCGCCGCTCGTGTAGCCGTATCGTCTATTGCTTGAAGTTAGGCCAAGTTTTTAAAATTGTGGAGTGGAACCTGCACCCATAATTCTGTGTGAATTAAATATTGTGTCTCCCAAAATGTTTTATCCATTAATAAAATTATGTTGGATTCATCCACATCTGTCTGCAAGCCCATAATTTCCATTCACACGGCTCTGTCAGTCTATGTGCGCAATTTGGAAATCAACAAGTCATTTACACCATCGAATCATTACATATACATATATATATTATATTTTCCTTAAGGGACTTTATATATAACATATCTACATTAAGTTTATAAACGCATTAGTTTACAAATGCACAGATTGAAACTCAGAAAACAAAAGCAGTAACTCATGATGAATAACAACATACAATCATATTGAGTCACCTTGAATACCTGAATAATTCTGAATTTGCTTCAGAAAGTCCTATGCGAAAGCCATCTCTCTCCTTAAGCAAATAGCCGTTTCGTGCTTTACCCTACTAAAATAATCTAATCTAACTGTTTTTCAGGTACATAGCGTACGTACGTCATTTGTATTTTAAAAATGAAGCATTTCCAGCCTTATATTTAAAGGCTCCTAACATGTTCTATTTGTAACTACGAACTTAGGCAGTTAAATTCAATGTAATGAATACAAAGTTTATCCAACGTAACCTCTTTCTATTTAGACAACATTCGTAATGTATTTATTAACTGATGTACTCTCAATGGCGCGTTGGGTACATATGTGCTTAATTTTAGGAATCGGGAAATCCAGTAACCATTATAGGATGTCAGTAAAAAAAAATGGTATTCTGCTTTTCGTGGAGGGCGCAGCATAAATCTTCCGCAGCACTTTTACATGCCCTTTACGAAAACGAAGTGACGACTTTTGTTTGAAGATAAATCGTTAATAACAAATTATCATCATAATGGTAAAGCATCATCAGTTGAAGATTATCCGGATATTATAATGAGAACATAATAGGCCCAAAGGCTAGATCAGACTTTTTTTCATATCGTTAGAATATTTTTGTTAGTCCCTATTATAGTCATCATTGAAAACTGCTGCGAAAAAGATGAATTTTAAAAAGGTGATCTTTAAGCAAATTTTAACTTGAACTAAAGTTCTTCACATGGAATAACAAAAAATCGCGAAAAGTTCCTAATAATTCTGCTTAAGTATTGTTTTATTACCTATTTTGTTTTGTATCGGCTGGAAACTCAAATTTTAAGCACATATTTTCCGCTTCTCTGATGACTCATTAGCAGATAAGTGGTAACGTCGCTGAACACTGGTAATAAAACTTGGGTTGAGATCTCGAACGGGCTGTTCTCAGGGAAGACTTTGTGGTTTTTCCCAAGTATACCGTGAATACGAGACGGTTTGCTTCAGAAAGTCCTATGCGAAAGCCATCTCTCTTCTTAAGCAAATAGCCGTTTCGTGCTTTACCCTACTAAAATAATCTAATCTAACCGTTTTTCAGGTACATAGCGTACGTACGTCATTTGTATTTTAAAAATGAAGCATTTCCAGCCTTATATTGACAGCTAACATTTTACCAAAACACTGTGCGAAAATGTTAGTTCATATTTTAATAACAGTCTATGGTGATTTTTCATAATAATCAGTATAAAAATTATAGTTAAATTGAAGTTTCTCTGAAGTAAATGTTCCTTTCCCAATGGCACACTTCCTCGAAATTTCTTGATAGGAATGGCCGAATTCAACGGTCGTTTAGTCGTCTCTTCACTGAAAACACTTCGCAGAGTCCGCCACAAGGAGTTGACCGATATTAACCTCCCGAGGAGGGGAAAACACATATATGCAGCCTTGTGGTCCGCTGCTTGCTAGGTGTTCAAACTGAATTCTTTCCAAAATTGAGGGACCTTTGAAATTCCTTTTGAGGGACTTGAACCCATACCCTTGGTTTCGTAGTAGCAGTCAGTCTTCGCTAGCCGCTATACTGTCTAGGGTTATGCTGTCTAAGATATCCATCTAAGATGACTGCATTACTGTTGTTCTAACTTGCCTGACACTTCATAAATTCGACAGGAATGGTCAAAAGTCATCCGAAATTTAGCCGTCTTATCACGCTGCTTAGGGTGAACCACAGATAATGACTGAATTACATCTACGAAAAGGAAAGGATCCATCCCAGTTTTCATGGCGAAATCCCAGGGGACAGATCCAAAGGTCGTCTACACTAACCCAGACCCAAGTCTATAACCCCCGGCTTCCTTAACACCATGCCAACAGGGAAATCAAAATGAAAAACCTACAAAGTTTAAATTTTTTCCTTTATTAAAGAATTGGATTACGGCAAAGCCCTCTAAGGCTGTCTGCCTAAAGTAGCGAGCACCTCTGTGGAGGTAAACTGTTCAATTTACACGTGGAAAAAACGATGAAAATGCCAATGCAGGTAGCGCTTTTATCGGGATAATGTCCGGTCCAGGTCGAACGACTACAA